CTTTCAGTTGTGAGTCTACATCTTTGGGTATAAAGGGATGAGAATGCTGGGCAGAATTTCAAGACTGGTCGCAAGCATAGCATAAAAATTGCAATCATGGTGTCTGGAAAGTGAAAGGCGCGCAATATTAAAGAAACTGGGCCTGCGTATTCGGGCAATCTAGTAATGTGCCTGGTTTAAAACGCTAGACGTGCGGAACTATATGAGGCCAAGACAGTTGACCTCCGTGGAATGAGTGACAGGATTTCCATGGAGTGTGAAAGCATCAGCTGTTAGGGGGCAGCGGTAGGAATTTATGCTGGATTTCTTGGGGGAGTAGCTTAGGCTAGAGTCGTTTGACCAGCGAATCAGTAAGTCTACGTCTTGCTTAAGCTGGTGAAAGGTGAAGAATAACGCGGAAGGGGGTATGTGTACGCGGAGGAGGAAGACCTTAGCATGGGTTTGGCACCGAAGACGTTAACGGGTTCTAGCACGCTTCCTTGAATGACTCCATTGGTTATAGATAGATGGNGAGTCGTTTGACCAGCGAATCAATAAGTCTACGTCTTGCTTAAGCTGGTGAAAGGTGAAGAATAACGCGGAAGGGGGTATGTGTACGCGGAGGAGGAAGACCTTAGCATGGGTTTGGCACCGAAGACGTTAACGGGTTCTAGCACGCTTCCTTGAATGACTCCATTAGTTATAGATGGTGGGAATGGGTGACAGTTGTGTTATTTGCGCCTTTACATTTTGACAGCAACTGAAACCAAGCATGGCGTACGCAGCAATCCTAATGGTGTATGCATCAAAGCGGGGACGAGTTGGACCTAGTGGTTAGGGCATGACTTTACTGACCGGAAGGTTCATGGTTCGAACCCGACCTTCGCCTCTCGACTTCACAGTCTAGGCTTGTGCGACCTGGTAGTGTCCCAGCATTCGTTCCTCCTTCGTGTGGCACCGCAGATAGGCACCGAAAGGGGGCTACAGCTGAGCGATTTTATGCGTTAAATTGCATCATATTGTATTCCCCGCGAAATCAGCTTCCTTCTTCATCTAGCTGAAGGTTGCTGTTGACGTCACGTCTTACTTAGGTCCAAACAGCTTTGACAACACTTGCGTTTTGATTATATATATAATTTTATCTTTTAGGCCACTTTTTCCATTATTGATGTTCTAATTACCTGCAAGTTATGCTAGCCCCCATTCCTGAACACACTTTGAGCTGCAGTTTATCTCTGAACTGCATGAACCTTCGTGATTGTCCCGCTGTATTTCATCCGTTGGGCAATGTCAAAAAGAGAGATGGGCGGCCTGTATGGCCCCATTCACGGCAGACGGCGAAGTATTTGATATGTTCCTTGGAGCAAAAAAACCTATCACTAATTGCGTGTTGGTTGCTTTATATCTGCTGTTCTAGGAAATCGGCTCCACCACTACTAAAACCGCCTCTCACGCCCGTAAACCAGAAGTTTAATAGGCCGGCGTCACTCCCGGCAACATTGTCGCGGATCAGTTGCGCGATATAAAAAGTTGCCCTTTAGAAATAATGTGTTTTTGACATCACTTAACGCACTATTCAGTAAGGGGAATTATCCAATGTCCATTCTCAAAGGGGCGTTCTCTTGCCTGAAGTGCATCACAAACCTCTTTGACAACACGAGGTTAAATGACTGTTCATTTTCACGAATCCTACAGCAACTGAAATGACTTTTAGTAACAGAGTAGACCCATTGAAACAGAAATATTGGAATTGCCGCCTCAGGCTGTGCCTGATCCGTCAGGCCAAATGGAGGGCTCAAGGATGTTGCAACCAGTGGCAAAGAATGCAAACAACGGGGAATATAATATTGAATAACGTGGTGAAAGTAAATTGAGTGTTGCTTTTGTGATAGATGTACGAGAGAACATAAATTACTTCCAGTCTTCTCCTCAAGGTGCTGTTCGCCCATTTGTCATAATTGTGAATTCAGGTATTGCTATCTATTTCGATCCATTCTGTAATTGATTCTTTGCACCGGTTTTAGATGCCAATGTATATATTTCTACTGCCTTGTCAATGCTGTTGGTATAACATTAACCATGAGACTTGTTTTGGATACCTAATTACATCCCACTCACTTATTGAGTGCAAAGCGATGAGCTTCAGTTTATCGGATGAAATGC